GGCAGCGACGAGCCTGTCACTGGGAGGCCCCGGGGAGCGGCTAGGACCGCCCGGCGCGGGGGCACCGCCGCATCCTCATTTGTGTCTTTCCTGCCGCTCCTCGCTTGTCACATGGCTCCGCTACTCTCTCCGCCTTGCGTGGTAGGAGCCCGCCTGCCAGTTGCCTGCTCCTAACTTTTTTTTTCCTTCCCCCACTGCGAGCTTTTGGAAGCTCCTCTGGGCTCTGTTTTCATAGTCGCTGACGTGGGGCTTTTTCACATGACCTCGTACGTACGTGGTTGTGGGCTCCCTGCTTGGAAGTACCTCCAGGCAGGGAGATGGTTTAGGTGGCAAGAGTTCACAAAACAAATCCAAAGGAAAAAGGCTGTTTTAAATGTCTCTTTCAAACACCAGGCAAGCCATTAGTGTTACTGAAATGCGAGTATTAATAAACAAGCCTTAAAGTCCACCTCAGATGCCGTCCACCTCTCCCTTCACAGAGGCCTTCTCTGCTCTTTGTTCAATTTGAAACACTACTGTATTTGTATCGCCTCTCATAACTTTTATATAGATATTTTTTATTCTGTTAGCTGCTGTTCTGTTGTTTGGCTTGTTTGAATATGAGTGGGAAGGTGCAAGATTAAAGTCAAAAGAATATGAGTTTGATCTATCACCAACTCTTTAGATGTGGCATCATAGCAACACATGTAGCCTAACATTTTCTATACAGTACCTGAGATGGACAATCTTTGCGGAGTTAATCAGCATTGGCAACACATAGGAGGTGCACACAGGTGCATATGCACCCCCTGAGCTTGGCAGTGCACCCCCTGCAAAAAGGTGCTGCTGACATTGCCAGCTGTGCCTGACGGCGTTTGCCGCCACCCCGCCCCTGTTGCTGCCAACACTGCTGGCAGCATCTGCAGGCAGTCCCTGATTGCTGCTGGCTGCCGCTGATGCTGCCAACAGTGTCTGCAGGTGGTCACCAACCACCAGTCGGCACTCACCCTCCCACCTCCCACTGCCAACAGTGCCATGACCACCTGCGAAAGTGCACCACTTCCCATTGCCATGCTTCCGCCGCTGCCAGCACCGCTGCCACCTGTGGGAGCTCACTGTGCTCCCCCCATCCCACAGTGGCAGGCGGTGTTCATGTTAATTAGTAGGGGTGCACAAAGTTTCAGTTCATGATTCGATTCAGAGAAGATTCAGCCTGATTCAGAGGCTGAATCGC